AACATATATTTTTTTCAGATTTTTTAGATTTAATCTGATGAAGCTGTTTTAATTACATATAAAGTTAATTATTTTTTAATAATAAAAACATATAAAAAAATAATTAACTTTATATACAATTAGAACAACTTCATTAGATTAAATTTAAAAAATCTGAAAAAAATATATATTAAAATATGTGATATTATCTTTATGTTAATATAAAAATAAAAAATATTTATTAATAAAATTGAAAACTTTTATATAAAGAGAAAAACATGCATTTTTCATATTTTTACTATATTTTATTAATAAATTTGTTTTAGCATTCCATTCTTTTTGATTGCTACTGTATATTTAAAAAATTATAAATTTATATATATAAACAAAATACCAAAAATATATAAACAGATAAAAATAAATATTGATAAAATATTATTAATATAACCAAAACTATTAAAGCAAACTAATTATTAAATTTGCTTAGCTTATAATATTTTAAAATTTAATTAATAAATTAAAAATTTAAAAATATTCAAAAAACTCTATGTTAATTTAAAAATAATAATTAGAATTATTCTTATAATAATAATTATTAACTTTTAATTTGTTATAATTGTATTAAAATTAAATATTTGTCTCAAAATTATATAATTTAAAATTTATTAACAAAATACTACAAAAAATTAACAATATTAAAATATTTAATTCAATAATAACAATTAGAATTAATATTATTTTTACTTAGTTTATATTAACTAATAACAATAACAAAAATTAAATCAAATTTTTATTTCAAATTCAACTATTACTAATTATTTTATAATTATTAAATTAAATTTAATAAATTATTATATTATATTAAATTCTATAATATATAATATTTAAAATTATTAAATATTTATATTTTATAAAATGAATTAATTTCTTTATTAAGAAGTAAATATAAAATTTAAACTATAAATATGATAGAATAGTTTCTTTCTGATCATATTCACAAATTAAATTTTGTATTTACTTTTTGGCAAAGAAGCTTATACATTTTGTAAAATATAAATATTTAATAACTTTATATGTTATATACTATATTAATATAACTTTGCTTATTTTTATAAATAAATAAAAAAAATTAAATTAAATAAATTTAAAATAATAATAAATGAAAATATTATTATAATTAGATCAAATTCAAACTAAAAAATTTTTTGTTTATACTATTAGAATTATAATATAAAAAAATCTAAAAAAATAAAGTAATTTTATTTATTTTGGTTACTTAATTTATTTTATATGATATTTTAAATAATTTAATAATAAATAAAATAATATTATATAACTAATTAATTCAAATTTTATCAAAATAATATTTCAAAATATTCAAAATAATATATAAATTTATTTAATTAAAATAAAAAATTACCAGAAAATTATTAAAATAATTAAAAACTACCTTAATTTCTAGTGTTCTTATAAACTGAATCAAATTGAACTTTTATCCGAGTTCGAGTTTAATTCAAAATTCGAATTGAACTCATATCAGACTTTGGCTTGAGTTCAAGAAAGGTTCAAAATTCAAACTGAACTCAAACTAAATCATTATATGAGTTCGAGTCTGATTTGAGTTCGATTCAAGATTATCATATAGTATCATATATTAATTTATAGCTCTAAATATAAATTACAACTTATAACCACAATTTATGATATTTAATAAAAATTAAAAGTTTATATAGTGATAACTAAAGTATTTTTATTTTTATATTTATTAAATTTGATTGTAAATGCTATATAACTCTCTAAATAATTATTATTAATGATAAATATCTTATACCAATATGTAACTCTTATTTCTGATTACAACTTTACATATAAATATAGTTTATAATTATTATAGCAAAATAAATATTTATTATACTAAAATTAAAGCAGATTCAAATTGTAATAATTAAAATTATTTTTTAAATTCATATAACTTCTTAAATATTCATTCTAAATATTAACTATCTTTACTTAGAATATCAATAAACATTTACTTGAACTCGAACTGAACTTTTGATCAGGTTCAAAATTTGAACTGAACTTGAATCAAACTTTTAATTAGATTCAAATTTTTGAACCAGACTTTTGAGCAGGTTCGAGTCTGATTCAAGCTCAAACTGAACCAAACTCAAACTGAATCAAACTTTTTTTCAACCCTATTAACTTGGAGTAAAGCAAAAATTAAAATTATTTAATAAATAATTAATACCAAAGTTTTTAATTATATTATTAATATAACTTTTTTTTTAAAAAAAATATGAAATCAAAATTTAATAAAAGTCTAATATTATAATATTTAATATAAATAATAAATTCAAGTAGTTTTTTAATGCAATTAATAATAATTTTTCAATTATTATTACTGGAATTATAATTCTTGATAATATTAATATTATTAAACTTTGTATTTATAATATAATTAAAATAGATTAATTAAATAAAATTAAAATTTATATAATAAAATTATAATATTTAATTGGAACAACCAGAAAAAATTTGTTAAAATCAAATTTATTTATAAATAAAAATATAATAATTCAAAAAAATTTTTTAATAATAAATCAATTTTTAATAAAAAAAATTTTAAGAATAATATTTGAAAAATTATAACTTTTTGATATTTAATTATAATATTTGAATAATTATATATATAATTATACAAATAATAAATACCAAAATATGTTCACGACGTCATCCCTCACGTACAGCTTCCAGAGGCGATCCTCGAGACTTTCATTTCAGGGAACTATTTCGATTGTATTTGGAAGTTCCTCGAGTTTTCCTTCAAAGGTTGAACTATCACTAATTTCTATTTGAATGTAATACAGGAAATTAAGGCCTATTTCGATTAGAAAGAATGAGTGATGAGAAGATTACCTTCATCCTCAGAATCATGATTCTCGTAATATTTCAATTCGTAGACTAAATCCTTAACTTCCTCATAAGTCATATTGTTAATTTTTAAGTTGTGAAAATCATTGGGGCTAGGTTTTTCACTTGGTTTTAATCCCCTTGCTGCTCGTATAAATTCTGTAAATGAACGATACCATTTATCTTTGTGCAAAGACCTTCACATAATGTTGCCTTAAGATTACGATTTTTATCCACGTATTCTACAGCCCCTCCTTCTTTCAAAAGCCTCCACTTACAAGATCAAATTTAACAGGCGGTATAGGCGGTCTGACAATAATGTGGATATGTTTACGAAGTGGTTTGTCAGTAAAATAACTACTAATCGTCCCCGTTTTGATAAGTTGATCGTCGCGGAGTTCAAGGTTATTTAGTTCCTCATCACTATCTATGCGAATTTGAACCTTCCATAACTTAAGCTTTTGTGCATTGAAACCATGAAAACGGTAGTCTTTTCTCCTTTATAGCTTCCTTGAGTTGATCAATAATCTTATTTCTGTTTATTTCAATAGGAAAAGCTTTATCAATTTTGTTTCCTTGAAGAAGGCAGTTTAGTTTAATTGTCCATTTGTATACCTAGTTTATCAAATTCCGATAAAAATTTTCTATTGGCTACAGATTTCCGGTGCGGTTAATTATGTGATATCACGATTTGATTGGTTAATTTCAAAGTCACATTTTATGACGCGACTAACGTTAACTTTAACAAATATAACAAATAATCTTTTAAGTTTTCATCAAACAAAATTATAACAAAATGCCGTTTTCATCTAAAAATATGCCCACTGAATGCCTTGAGGCTATTTTCTCAGAGATAGACCCAGATGACTATGCTACATTACATTCTGTAATTCTCGTGAATCGAAAATGGTGTAAATCCGGAATCCAGATGCTATGGCGAAAACCATTGAATTGTAACACAATTCCGATCAAACGTCTCATGAAAATTCTTCCTTTTTATTTGGCGTTTGTTAATCAACATGATGTCGACAACAAGAAAAAATCACAAACACCTTTATTCAATTATCCAGCATTCTTGCGGGAATTGAATTATAATATTTTGTATAAATTGGTTGAAGAGTGGATTCAAGCGAGTGCAACATCAAGAGAAGATTGCTTTGACATTGACGGTACTGAAGTTTTTACTGGTGATACATTTGAGGAACGTCGATTTCAGATTGCAAATGAAATTTGTAAAATGGTATTTACTCAATCTATCTCTGGTAGACTGGATTATTTCAACGTTGATTTGTATCCAAGTTATGAAAGAACTACGGGACATACTTGGTTTGAAAAATGTGCAAGGAGAGCAATCTCCAAAATTCCATCTTTTTTGGCAGCTAGCAGTTGTTTCGCGGATCTCAAGACGTTAATTTGCAACGATTTTTTCAACGCAAATCATTTTTTCATACGGCTTTCTCAATACAGTCATTCAATTCAGGATTTGACAATAATTATCAATTGTCGATATTCATATTCTCATACCATTCAGAATCCGAGATTAGTTGTTATATCATCACCGAACAAAAATACTGAATTTATTCATTTGATTAACGCACAACGTAACTTGAAGAAATTAAGAATTGAGAATGGGAATGTCGTCGATATATCAAAAGAATTGTCCTTGATTTTCAACAATCATTTGACGAAGTCATTGGAAAAGCTGGAAATTAACGGAGGAATTCTGTCCGAGGGTTCCGCACTCGAAGGGTTAACAAAATGCCAAAATTTGGAACAATTAAGTTTCGAGAATTTCGCAATTACACCCTGTAATTTAGATTCATTAGCCATGACGATATTTCCGAAGCTTAATTCGATCCGGTTTGTCAACATCGACAGAAATTGGAATCCAAATCCAAGCAATGTGATAGTACACGCAAATTTAGCTGCATTAATTGGCAATTCAAATGAAAGATTGACTAGTATCTTCGTTTATGTCAAAACGAGATATTGTCTAAATCTTCTGGCAACCATCGGGGAAAATTGCTCAAATCTCGTGAATTTTGGCACTTACATTACGAATGATCAAAATGCCAAGGATCTTTTAAATTTGTTGAAAAATTGCCGAAAACTTAAGAGCCTTAGAATTCCAAGACCTCTACATCTATTACATGGTAATGCAGAAGATGACATTTTCCAGGATTCTCGGTTTCAATTATACAAATATTTTCCGAAAATCGCGGAAAACCTTCCAGCTTGCTTTGAAAATTTAAATGCAGCATATTGGAGAATATTGGGAAAATACTTCCGTGAATTTCTTGATAAAGCTCCTGCAGGTCTTACCTCTTTAACTTGGGCGGGTGAAGCTCGTGTTGTCAATACGCATGAAAATTTGTTGAAACAATATGCGAAGAAGAACGGGAAACGTGTTAAATATTTTAAAAGTAATAAATCATTTGGTCGAAATTTTGTTCAAATAACCGCAGAATTGGAGTAATGATTTAGAATAAGGGAAAGGAAATATAGTTTCACTTTGATATTGTAAAAGGTGTCTTTTAAGTTTATCAAGAATCGGCCAATCACATTTAAGCGAAAAAGTTAAGTCATGTGATAAAAATTTCATTGGTGATTTAATTGTAATAATTATTTTAAAATAACGATAAAGACACACAAGCTTCTGTTTGACAATCTTTTATAAAAGGTCAAAGTCATCTAACTGATTAAAAATTTAAAAGATTAAATTGATTCAATAAATCTTTAATAAAATAGATGTGTTTAATCTTACCTTATCATTATATTTCATGATCTTTCGTTTTATCTTTGATGTGTCAACCCACGTGACAAAATCTTCAAGATTCCTATAATTTAAACTTTAATAATAATGTACAGAAGCTGAAATTCTCAGTCATTCAATCGTATTTACCTAGTGATTAAATACGCCGGATCTGTAATTGTTTCCGGTCCCACTCTCACATGTCCTTGTTCAATAAATGTGACTGCTTCCTTAACAGTCTCTGACATCTTTAATCGACACATGACAATTGGTAAACGTCGTCGACAAAAAGCAGACACTGTAATTCCATCCACCTGACTAAATTGTTTTTTCGCCGTAATTAGTCCCATCACATATAATTTTTCCAATAGTGCTGTCTCTTGTTTAACACGGAATGGATCACGTGAATCTAAAAGTGAAATTCGATTCGCAAGTTTTTTTATTTCACCACAAAGTTTATTATATTTGTGGTAGTCTTCAGGTTTTTGTATATGATAGCGACGTATAACTTTTGTTGCATGAATATTATCTTCTTTCTTCCACTTAATAAATGTGTTAAAAGATTGAAATTAAGTCATCGGTTGATAAATATGTTAATATTTTATTTTATTATTTACCTGAAGAAAATCGACTTTTTTGAGCAATTTTTTTTCATGATATTTTAATTGACGGACCATTTTGAAAAAGATAATGATCAGATGAATAGAACAATCTGATAAATTGTTGATCGTTAGGTGAAAGATCATGTGATTCTACAGAAATTAGCTTATTATACATGTAACAATAATAACCACTTTCGGAAAACTGATAGAGAATCTTCGTGTGAACACATTACTTGGTATTCCAGACAAAATATTTTAACATGCAATTTTGTACGCTAGACGGTTTAAGGGATAAACTATATAAATCATCCTATTTCAAAGGAAATCGTCAGCGTGTAGGAGGAATTGTCCGACCACGTGATTTTCGGACCAAATGATCTGCGTTATTTGGTTCGGCCATTCGTTGTTGATAATAACAAAGTGAAGACCAAGAAAAATGGCAGATCATGTGATTCCGATTCTGATGCCGACCATCCGATCTACCCCTTAAAATTATGCACCAATCAAATCGCAAGATCAAAACAAATGCTTATTTTTTGAAAAATAGCTTGTATTTTAAAATTTTGTCTATGAAACTATCTTTTGTGCTTTAATAAAAAAATATTCCTTGCGAAATTTTACTATATAACACATTTTCGTTTACTATACAATAATCTTAACTCTAAATCTAATTCTATCATAATCAAAATTTTATTTAATATTATGCATTATAATTTAAGAAATAGATCGGATGGTTGGTATCGGGATCGGAATCACATAATCTGCCATTTTTTCTTGATCTAATTACGTAACTTGATTGATTTGATATAACTTTAACATTTGCTATTTTATTTTTATTATTATTTTTATATTTATTATTATTTCTATTTGTTACAATATAATCACACTCTAATTTTAGATTAGTTTAACTTACAAATAAGAATTACAAATCATTAATAAATTTTATTAAGTCATTAGTTGGATTAACTATTATAATTTGTTTTTCTATAGCTATAAAAATAATTGTATTTATATTACTTAAGTATTATATTAATTATATTAATAATTATTAATAATAAATATAATAACAATAATAACAATAATGATAATTGTAGTAATTATAGTAATTACAATAATTATAATAATTATAAAAATTACAGAAATTACAAGAAGTTATAAGAAATTATAAATTATGTGAATTAGGCAAATTATGCAAATTATACAAATTATATAAATTATATAAATTATATAAATTATAAAAATTATATAAATAATAATAATAATAAATAATAAATTATATATAAAATTATATATTATATATAAAATTCATATAATTTCAAATTTATCCAATAGAAATATAAATAATTAAATATTAAATATTAAATAATTAAATTAAATAAATTTAAATTATTAAAAATATTAAATATAATTAATTATTTATAATATAAAATATTCTACTTATAATAATATACTATTATAAATAAAATAAATATGTAATAATAACTTTTGTTTAAAAACAATCTTTTTTTAATTAATAAATATCTATTAAAATCATTAAAAATCAGTATATGATTTTTAACAAAAAATAATCTTTCTTATCTTAACAATTTGATAATTTTTACTAATAACTTCATTTAATATATATATTTTTTATAAGTAAAATCCAGCTCAATTTGAACAATTTGATCTTTAAATATTTTATTTATTCATTATTTTTTAATAATTATATTATTAATAATAATAAAAATTCAAACTATTTGCACTTTTCTAGAAATATTGATCAATAATATTATTTTTAAAATTATATTAATATTTAAATAATAATTATTGAATTTAAAAATAATATTATATATTGTAATAATTTTAACAAAAAATGATTCTTATAAAATAATAATAAATATTTGTAAAAAATCATTAAATATAATATTATCAGCAAAATTTGTATATAATAATATATACCTTTATAATAAATTACCAGAAATTCAAAAAATACATAATAAAATTAAAATTATCTCTTTATAATAAAAATTTTATTTTTATTAGTAAATATTTTTTGTCTTTATATCAAAAAAAAGCTAAGAGTCTGTATTTTAACATATATTTTTTATAGATTTTTTAAATGAAATATTTCAGATTATAAAGTTAATTATACAAACTTTTTATAATTAAAAATTCAAATTATTAAATTTTAATTATAAAAAGTTTGTATAATTAATTTTATAATTTGAAATATTTCTAAAATTAAATTTAAAAAATTTATAAAAAATATATATTAAAATACAGTCTTTTAGCTTTTTTTTAATATAAAAACAAAAAATATTTATTAATAAAAATAAAATTTTTATTATAAAGAAATAATTTCAATTTTATTATATCTTATTATATTTTTTTGAATTTTTAGTAATTTAATTGATTGAAAATTTATTGATTTTATATAAAATTAAGATAAAGAAGTTAATTTATTTATAATCTTTGTAAATACATTCAAATTTTATATATATTTCACCAAAATTATATAATATATTATCAATATTATTTAATTAATTCAAATTCAATTTATTAATTTATTTACATAATATTGTTATCATTTTTATATTGATAAGCAAAATATAAACTAATTATAGTATTTAAATAAGAATTATATAAGAGTGATAATAGTGATTGTGTGTACTTGAGAGAGTTGAATACTAGATGATTAAAAGAAAATATAAAAAGAAATAGATTTTAATACTTTTACTAATTGAACAAGTATTTTATAATTCAAAAATGCAAATGATTTATTAAAATACAAAAGATAACTTCCATTAGTTGGATAAGTCAAAGTTAAGTAAATAATAAATTAAAGATAATAATAAGTAAAAGATTATTTAGAAGTATTAATTAACTTCTATACTTTTAAAATTATTACTAAAATTCTTGTTATTCTATGTTAAATTATATCTGTTCAAATACATATAAATATAATATAAATTTACATGATAAGTGATATTACTTAAAAAAAATTATAAGATTAATTTAAAAAAAGTGTTACTAATTTAATCTAAATGATATAATTTAAATTAGAGTGATATTAGTACTATATTAATTAATATTAATTTAAAATAGAATGAATTTAGATCTAATAATATTATAATAAAATAAATAATGTAATATTAAAAGAATTAATTGGTATTTTTGATAAATTATATGTAAATTAAATAAATTAAATAATTATAAATAAAAAAAATATAAAAGAAAATATAAATAATTATCAAAATTATGTCACATAATATTTTATATGTAATTCAAACTATTAAATGATAAAAGTCTTCTCTACTTAAGAGTTTTACTGTGAAATTTTAAATAATTATCATGAATACTAATTTGTTCAATTCAATATAGAGCTTCAAATGATTATTATTATGTGAATTTTTCAAGATTTTTCTATCAAGTATACACAATTTGTAAGTTCTTTTATCAAATTTGTCATAAATATAGAATTATCCTTTCTATTTTTCTTCAAATTTGTCATAATACTATTATTGAATTTCAAATCTTATAATTCAAGTCACTTTTTATAAATCTTGAGTGAAATTAAGAAATTGAATATTAATTTATATAGAATTGAATTTTTGATTATTACTTTTGTCTTTAAATTTGAAAAAGATAATTAAAGTATTTTTGGATAAGTATATTGATTTGCTATAATATTATTTTTTGATTTAGTTATGTACTGTAACTTTAAATAAGTAATATTAATTTGTAAAATTGTGTACTATAACTTTAAATAAGTAATATTGATTATATGATTATATATTGCAACTTTAAATAAGTAATATTGATTATATAGTTATGCACTGTAACTTTAAATAAATGATATTAATTGTATAGTTGTGTACTATAACTCTAAATAAGTGATATTTTTTTTAGTTATTTATTTTCTTTGGTATTGAAAAAACTAGAATATATGACTATAAGTATAGAAATATCAATATCTTTATATTTAGTTAATAATCCCTATAGTTAATTATCTCTTTGAACACACTCTCCCAATTTTTCTTTTTATTCTTGATAGAATTATTTAATAATTTCTGTCAAAATTGGTATAGGTTTAGATATTTATTTTTGCACTAACCAATTTTATTAGTTTATTTCTCTCTTCCA